ATTTTTTGTTTTTGTTTTGTTTCTTGTTCTTCTTGTCAATGGTGGATCTTGGGGGGGGGGGGGGGGAATAAATTAGGCTGGCTAACCACAACCCATTGTACAGAGACATGAATTATATAAAAAAATAAAAACAAAAAATTAGATGCATTCTGCAAAACCACCAAACAACCAACAATAGAGATGTATTTGTTTTGAAGGTTTCTGAATTGGACAAKTTATGGTTTTCATGCTTGAAAGACAAACCAAGACCAATACGTTTTATTTACAGCTTGCTTAAAGGTTGGTCTAGAATAAGGGGACAGGAGAGAGCCAAGACCCATTATCCCTGCCCACTCAACCCCTTAGGGACACTATACAGAGGCTAYATTACACTTATTAGTAAAAATACAATAAAAAATATAGCTTGATAAATGTATTAGAGTGCTAACTCCAAAACCATGAAAAACTTCAATAGTGTTAGTCTATTAATCTACGCTATATTGCTTTATTTAGCTCTATTTGTTTAGTAGTTTTTCATGTTTCAGCATTTACACTTTTAAAATGTACTTACCATTAGTTTTTGTTTGTAAAATCAGGTGTTAACTGGCTTGTTACATCAAAAGGGTTTGATATCTTCATATGTAAGTTAATGGCCTTTACTAACCTGTGCACAAGTTTGCCTTAAAGTTTGTTTCTTTAATATTTCAGTAATGGTARCTTAAAGAACATCCTTTAGTTTTCTCTTTGAGCTTCAGAAATTGAATTTGCCATTATAAATTTAGGCAATCTATATATTAGCGTTGTGTTGGATCTGTTGCGTTGCCTTTTATTCATTATACATAGAAACAGAAAAGGCTATGAACTTGTGTAAGCTGAAATATTATGGAGTTTCTGATAAAACAATGAAACTAATATTTGTGATAAAATTGTTGCCTGTCTTAACAAGAGACACATAATATGTTTTCTTTGTTTTATGGTTGTACGTTTTCATATGAAAAATACAAACATTTAACCCTTTCTTTGGTTTAAGATGTTGCTATCATTGCAAACGGTTGTACATTTATCTACGAGATCCTTACCTTGTCAAGTAAGTCAAAATGGCTCCTGTTGCGATTTTATAAGTGTACATTATGTAAAAAAGATGTGAAAAATCTTTCAAATTGTGTATCCAACATCCCAGCTATGCAAGATCAAGTGATGTTGTAGCAAATATTTGTTTATAGTAGCTATAGGGAAAATCAAGAGCAATGAAGTATATTTCAGTTATATTACACATAATTAGACTTTAAATAATCAAGTGTTTTTGATGTTATTTTCTTAGGAACTCCTGCTGACGAAAGGGAAAGAGAAGCATTTCAAAACCATTGGTACAATGTTCTTTTTATAGCAAGTAAGATTTCCTTCCTAATTTCAGATCTTATTCAGCATAAACAATAGAATGAAGAAATGTTGTCGCGTTGAAAATCATAAGTGAAACCGAACTGATGTTCGTTTTCTTGTCTATAGTTTATGGTACAGAAGCCTTACTGAAGCTTATCGGACTTGGTGTAAAGCGCTACTTTAGCTCTGGTTTTAATTGGTAAGCGAGTGAAGCAATTATAATATACATTGCGACATACTCAGTACATTGCTAAAATTTTTATAAAGTCATTAAGTTATATTTTTATTTGCCGGCACATAACTGTGGTTTTGTTCAATTTTCAGTTTTGACTTTATTGTGACTGTTCTTGGTATTACTGGTCTGATTGGAGCAGCWGCTAATAGCTTTTCTCTGGCTTTCATTGTTTGCATTCGACCTCTGCGACTATTGCTGTAAGTAGACAACCATTCTACTTGGCCTGACTAACTTCAATGATAAAAAAAGAATGAACTACAGTGTGAGAGTTTCTTGATGGTTTTATAATGAAACATATGAAATACTCAACGATTAAACACTGTAAAAACTTACGTTTTGACATTAATCTGTTTATTACTTACAGATAATATAGTGTTGAAAATTATAATCTGTCTCACAATTATTTTTCTATTTTGAAGGCTATTTAAACTGAAGAGAAGATTCCGCGATGTATTAGAAACGATGTGGGTCCTCACTCCGAGAATGTTCAGGTACAACCAAAAGCATATCTACATTATTGGTTTCAACCAAAAGCATATCTACATTATTGGTTTCATAGAGCAAGACACAGAATGTGTAATACTATCATTTGTCTATATTTTTTTAGAGCGAGAATGGCTGAAGATTTATGAAATGCTACTGTGAACATATCTCCATATCTAGTCAGCTGAGGAGCTGATGAGTTACAAATGTTTTTTTATTGTTTCTTTTTTAGGGTGATGCTAGTCATTGTCTGTATTTATTATTCGTTTGGCATTATTGGCATGGAGTGCTTTGCAGGTCTCAAACTGAAAGATTGTTGCAAGTATGTTAAGTATTTCTAACACAAATGTCAATGCGTTAAAGTTAGAGTTCGTGTAAGATTCAGTCTGGCAAGAGCTCTGCGTTTAGTGCACAGTTCGTAAATGACTCGGATGCATCTAATTTACAACCTTTACAGCGCGCGATTTTTTCCAGTGATGGTTGGATTGTAGGCTTTAGCAAAGTTAAAAGAGGACTACCAGTCCTCTCTATTAACTATGGCTTCAGGCAGTGCTCGTACAAGTTCATTTGTTCATTGAATCTTTATACACGGTAGGGGTGGGTAGGCAGGTGTTTGAGTAAGACTGCCTTGTACGTTGATGTGACTTTAACGGAGTTTGCGTAGTAATTATAGTGTTGTTTTTGTTACTATAGAAACACCTCAGTGGCGCAAAGCTTTGAAGAAGGAGGTTACTATTACTTGAATAACTTTGATGACCTCATCCATGCTATGGGTAAGTGCTTGGTCCTGTGCACAGTCCTCTCACGYCCAAGAAATAACAGGAAGCCCAATGCTTACAGTATGATTATGTGTTTGCAGTGACATTGTTTGAGTTGACTGTTGTCAATAACTGGTTTATCATTATGGTGAGTACATCTTACGAAAACCTTTTTTTTTTTGACCGGTCTATTGATTGACTGACTGATGGCTTACGTTGTAACTTCCAGGCATAACTTAAAGTAATTACTTCATACCAAATACCAATCAATATGTTTGTTTATTAGGAAGGCGTGGTGTATTTAACATCTGACTGGAGTAGAATATACTTCATGTTGTTTTACATCATAACTATGGTAAGCTAGTACAGTATATTCTATTCGTCGATGCCTGGACTAGTCTCATATTGACCAGATTGTACTTTTTTTTCCAGGTTGTGATGACCATTGTTGTTGCTTTTATTCTCGAAGCATTTTTGTTTAGGATTCAGTATCGCAAAGAACACCAAAACGAAGACGAAGAAAGTGAGTATTGCTTTTTATTTGGTACACATMATCAGTATCATAAGCATTATGATTATGGAATCAACAGCAATTATCAGTGTTACATCATCATCATCATCAACGGYCAATGCCAACCAGTACTATGATAATGATAATGTTACTTCGTGGTCKATTTATCAATGAAATGACATCATTGTCAATTATACATCTTTATCATCAACCCACCAATGTCATCATCAGACCTTAAAAGTCCACGTGCATCTAAGGACCTTTGCGCGATTTTCACTACGAAAATTCGCCATCTTTGATTTTGAACCAATCCGAGCACATTTTAACAAGARATCATTAAAAAAAAGAAACAATCGCAAAAATTCTTTGATGCACGTCGGCGTTTAAGATGCACTGCATTTGGTCGTACCGGAGAAACGGGTAAACTACCTCTTACACCGCAGAAAGGGGTATGCGACCGGTGGACAGGTGACGACATTATTACATATTTGGGAAACCATATAGATGTCTTTTGCGTTTTTAAAACTGACAGATGAACATGGTCACATACTTTTCCCGTGGACCGACAKTGTCAACTAGTACGTCATCATCGAYAGTGATCACTGTCATCATTGTTCATAGTACGTCATCGCCYGTTCAGTTACGTCATCATCAATGTCGTCATGTCATTATCATCACGGCCCATATCAGACGAAACGTTTTTTTTAATGGCTAAAGTGTTTTGCATTTCTTTTTAGTTGACATGAGTATCAAGAAAGAGATYGAAGTTTCATTCGAAGAATTATTAGCTCTAGACGAGAAGTACGTGCAGGATCTACAGCCTGGACAAACGGTATGGGTGTGATATTTATCTTGATATTTACAGCATCATTGTACATGAAACATGCAATCATTCTGATCAATACAGGTGAGATACAGAGGGAAAAGGCTGAAGACKAAGATGGACTTAAGCACACGAATGTACAGCAATGAAGTAGAGGTTTGTTATTGTTATTTGCATTGTCAGACCGGGTGCATTATCCTGTGGGGATCACCACTTGTAGTGTCCTCTCGCACTCGTTATAAGGTTCGTTCCCAGGTCTCTCAGCCTCATAACCGCTCACAAACTATTTTCCATTTTCAGGAATGGAAACGTGACGAACGAGTTTTCAACATAACAGAGACGCTGCARCGTATGGAAATCTGCGACGATTCTCTCGTGAACATGTTGGACTATCAAACTGTTACCAACTCGTTGCCAAGGATACGTAATGTGTCACCACAGCAACACAATTCACTACCACCGTCTTTAACAAGGTTTGCACGAAGTATGAAGGGGCTTAGCACAAAACGTGGCAAGAGAAACCTTCATTCTGTAAATACTGGTGTGATTTGATCATGGTTATATCAATGCGAAAAAATATTAGYGAACCGTATTGAAACGTGGCAGATCGATTGATGTGACCACAGGGAACCCATAAAACGCGCGGCATTGTATGAAGCAAATATCAATATACCGACATTATCATTTTATCTTAACCTTTTTATTTCCTTTCTACAAAAGCTCCTTTTGATTTCYTCATTTGTGTCATATTTTTCTTTCTTCTCGTTTTCATTCTTTCCACCTTTGCAGTCATTCTTTAATAATCAATCAATAGTAATGTAAAAATAGAATAATAATAATAAATCTAAATACGACTTTTTATCAAAATTAGCTAAACAATTATAGCAGCTCTAGACGTTTATTGTACATTTTCAGAGTGAATATTATACCAAGAACTTTTTGCTATTTGCAGTAAAGATACTGCGAATGAAACACTGKTTTTTACAAATGTTATRATAAGGTAGACTTATATAAACTTGWWYAAACTGATTCAGGACTGAGTCTCGAGCTGTCAAGATTTCAAGCAACTTGTTTTGAAATTCAACAGTCACTCCACAAGCCATATACAGAATGTACTTTTAACAATGTACAGAAGAATGTTTTTATTATTTTGTAAATAGAGAAATATACAATGAATTTGGCAAACAAGTAAAATTATATTAATAAACACATGAATAACATTTAATCGTTGYGTGATTTACATGATTCTTGTCACTCAATGTGTTCATAAATAAATCTATTACCGATTGGCCTGTAATTTTAGCACAGGTAACCCAAGCTAGGCATAGGGAAATACGTAAATTACAATAAACGCAAACATATCTGCTTGCGTGGTGTGTTGTTCTTTGAATTTATGTGATGTTTCAGGACATTTTCTTCAATATGGAGATAAATACATAGCTTTTCGGTATCTAAATCGACCTCTGATTGGCTTATACAGCACAGAAACGACATGAAAATATTTGAACGGTGGTCTTTTGATCTCGAAAATTCATTTACTATTTTTACCGGATATTTTTACTAATTCTTTTTTGCTTGTCAATGACATATTTCATTTTAAAAGCTTCTAGATAAATATTTCCATTTCCTTGATCTTAAATGAAGATTATTTTATAGGGATAAAACTTCAAAACGAAATCTCATTTTTATTATAATGCATGCTTGCATCAACTTCTAGCGGAGGGTATTTGTCCCAAACTAAAGTAACCTAAATTTCAAAACAGAACAGTAAAATCGACAAAGTTTATTTTTAAGATCATTTTATTTTTGAAWAATTTCATAAATCGTACAGCAGTATAAGAAATATTCAATATGATGATAATGATGAATRACCAGAATAAAGATATTTTTTCACGTTTTAAATGTTTTTACTTTTTTATAAATTACTTTCTATAATTTAGAAACTCTAGATAGAAGCTGATTATGCCGATACATTGGCATAATCTTATAGAATATAACATCAAAGTGCTTTTTATGTGCTCAAAGATATATGTAAAACCTTCTTGCGATTTGTGAACTTTTTTTTCACTCTGAGTATACATATTTCCTTCGTGCATAATTGCCGCTAATAAAAAATATTTAGTTAAAGAATGATAACTTACATAACAAAACAACGGTTTTTACGATTATCCATCAGTTCCATTTGTCGCATGAAATCCTGAGARACTTCAAGCTGTTGGTCTATCAGGATGTAGGAATCWACCATGGCCTTGGTCCTCACGGACATTTCAAAACTGCATAATGCGTGACATACCTCGGGCGATAGTCCTCGGCTGACATTYGGGTTGGCATCGGATTCATTCGAGGAATCTTTGCTGTTATCATCAGATGGAGTCTGTTTCTCCTCAGTTGAGCTCGGTAGTTCTGTTTGTTGCGAGTTTGCATCGTTTGGCAACTCTTCTTGTTGTTCTTGCGTGACTTCATCAAGTTCTTGCGTGACTTCYGGTGTTTCAATTGAAGGCAACTCGTGGATTTGATGTTCTGGCGCGCTTTCTTTGACGACTGGAACAGCAAGCAAAGAACTTTCGTCTCCCATCTCAATCAATGTAATTTCACTTACGCTAAGGCTGCTGTCTTGAATATCGTCGTTGCTTTCTTCTGGAACGAAGTTTTGGTTTTCTTTCAGCTCATCATTGTCCGAGTCGTGTTCAACTTGCTCGCTTATCGATTCGATTTCGTTGATCGCTGAAGGATTTTCGGCGATCCCTGTAGGAGTCGAGGATTGTACGGKCTGTATTTCTTCCATCTCTTCAGTTTGAAGATCTTTCTCGGAATTTTTCTCGTCTTCAGCAGCTGGCTCGGTGTTTTGTTCGGTTGGAATTATTCCGTCTTTGTTGTCGGATTGTGTTTCATCAGGTTTYTGACCTTTTTGTTCACATACTATTGTTTCACAAGGTTCTGATTGTTCTTTATCAATGATCGCTGCGGTGTCWGTGTCTGTGTTGTTTTCAATGTTATCTGTAGTTTTCTGGTCTGCTTCAAGTTTTTCGGGTGGATTTTCGTTTGTGTTTTCTTTGTTGTCCTTTTCTGATTGACTTTCACTTTGYTCGGGTKGAAGTTCTTCATCTTTYTTCGATTCTTTCTCARCTGTTTCAATATTTGCTTTGCTTCCGTTCGACGACTTTCTTTTCTTTAAAGCTTTAGGTAGTTTCAGGCCGAGAACGCTCTTCTTTCTCTTGCCAGAGTTTTCTTTGGACTTTTCTTCCTGTTCGGACTGTTCTCCAGCWTCCTCATTCGGTAYCGTTTCACCATCGAGTAACTCCARTGGGCTGCTGATATCTGATTTTGTGATTGGCTTRTTTTCTTTCTTTGACTTKATGTTTTTGCTCGACAATTTACGAAGAAATCGTTTCTTTTTCTTTTTGGGTTTGTTGTCAGGAGTTTCATCGTTTTCTTCACCAGTCGCGTCACCTGCTGTTATGTATTCGTCGTCCGTCTTGGAGTCATTTTGTTCAACGTCGCTCAAACTGTCAATCTCATTATCTTCTTTATTGTCCTTGTCCTTCGAAGCGTTTTCGATGACAATGTCAGCRATTTCTGTGTTGTCTTTATCATCGGTTGCAGMGTTGTTTTCATTTTGCGAGTCGTTGAGTTGTTCGGGTTCTGATTCTTCCTGTGTTGTTTCTTTTGGCTGGTCAGATATTTTCTCTGCACCAGGAATAACATCGGTGAATGGCACAACAGTTGTCTCTTCGCCGAAGCTTGAAGATCGTTTGCGMGGCTCTGGCTCAGCAAGAAGTTCATCGTCGTGATAATGGACAGTCTCGGCGAAGCTCACAGATCKTTTGCGGCGCTCTTCTTTGGACAATGGTGAACTATCACTACTCCCCGTGGTGTTGAYATWTTCCTCGGCATTGTTCTCTTCTTCAGCTTTCATCAGGTCATCTGAGCTGACTTTCTTTAACTCCAGATCATCAAATTTCTGTTTTGTTTCGGTTGATTTGCTTTCTGTACCATCTTTCTTTTGTTTGTTGGAGAAACTTGCCCAGCGTTTAAATTTCTTGGAGCGAGAGACTTTATCTTTTATTTCTTTATCAGCTGATTCCTTTCTTTTTTCTTTGACATCAGTCGAGGCAGTATTTTCTGCATTTTCTTCATTTTGAGGTGAATTGTCTCCAAGAGATTGTGCATCTGAGTTCATCGCTGTTTTTGGAGTCTCCTCGCTTTCGGGTGGATTTTCTGGTTCTTGTTTCTCTTTCTTTTCTTCTTGCGCAGAGTTGTCCAATTCAGGCTTTGTAACGGAAGACTTTTTTCTCTTTCGTCTAAATGAGAGCCTTCCTTTTTTAGACTTTTCAAATTCAGGTTCTTTTTGGTTATTACTTGGTCTTTCGTCGCCCGCTTCGCTCGTAGTTTCGGGCTCTGCACTCATGTCTTTATCGGTCGACATTGTTGRACTAGCTTTGCTGCCGGTGTTGCTATCTAATGTGCTGGAGCTCTCGGTTGATTCTGCTTGACCTAGGTAACAATCACAAGACCATATAATCYCTTATTACTATTGTTCGCTTGCCAAGGCAAATATCCTATTGTATTTTCACTGACCTGTCATCGCTTTACCCTTGGCMRTCGAGTCTTTATCTTTATTTTGGTTGGTTGCTTCTTGTAGAGTCGTGTTCTTTGTGACCTCTGTCAAATTTAAACCAGAGCATGAAGCAGCCGCTTTCTTGTCAGCAGTTTTAATAGAAGATGTGGTATTTTCCTTGCTTGTTTTCTTCTTCTTCGATTTCTTGGCCATTTCTTCTCCTCCTTTGCGTCGTGTTGCCGACAACAGAGCTTTGTACTTTTGAATTTGAGTCAAACTATCCTCGCCTTTTGCGGCCATATTCAAATGAAGGGTTATTTACGCTCAAATAGTTCCTGCCAAAGTATGTTACAGGTCAGCGAGTCCCCGTGCAAGTACCGGCTGAATTTTTTTCTCCTTTCAAGTATTATTTTGCTGACAATAACAAAAAGATGTTAGSCTATTGTGACGTCATACCCCCCACGGGATCATTGCGTGATTGACAGGAAAAGTGCTCAAGCTGGCTCGTGCTTTTTAGGTCACATGTGTAGAGAAAATGAAAATTCTTAGAGAGGATTACTCCAAAGTTGCGCAAATGATAAACATTGAGAATGATAAACATTGAGAATAACAATAATACCCTTTTATGGAGTTGGAAAACATTGCTTTTTTATGCTTATTAAGCAAGAAATTTCCATATTGTTGAGTTGTTTATGTGTTTCTTGTGAAAGTGTCATTAACAGCTAGCCACTCATATCTCGTCACAGTGCACAATTAGCACCAACGAGAACAATAGAAACACAAGAAAGGTGTTGTGTGACATCTGTAATACAAACCAATTCTCCTCACAAAAATAAATCGTAATTGCTGGCTACCTCGATAGAACAGCAAAAAAACATGYTTTATAATCGAAAAGCCAAATTTTTGTCTTGCACAAAAGATGAGACTGAAATGATGGATGTAAAYAATGTTTGCAAGTCATCGTGATTGAAAAACAATTACTGAGCAGTAAGCAATTCTTTCTGTCACAAGCTTGTTATGTAGTTTTGTTGATTTTTTTTTTGTGAAATAGTATTCAAAAGGAATGGTTTTCTACAAATTAAAGTCTTTGAATTGACCAAAAAAATGTTATTTTGTCCTTAATTAAAGCATGTTTAATGTCATCTTGTTTGCTAAAAGAAATGAACTTTGCCCCTCTGTAATTTAGTTCGAATTGTTTTCTAGCATAAGGGATTAAATTACTTATCGRATTCAACACGGTTCTTTTTAGAAGRATTATTTTATTATTCTTATCTGACCGGAGYTCATTATTCTTTGAGCTTTTTCTTTTAATAAAGAGAAAAAGATTTTTATTTTTGTTGTTATTTTGATAGTGCAATTGAAAAATATTTCTTATCAGTAATCGATATATGATACATGAATGTAAGTTTAGACGATTGGAGTCCTGACTGTCCCTACTGTCATTAATAGCGAAGAGGAGTGATAATTGTAATTTCTAATAATGAAAGGGAGGGGAGAGTATAGTCTAATTTTTAAACTATGTTAGGGGCATGGCATATTGTGAGGGGGGAGGGGGGAGTATAATAGTTTTTTTCACTCAATCCTTTCCCCCACACACACAATCCGGATAGCYATAGCGAAGCGTGTTTTTTTATATTCGTCGCGCACATTTCTTTATACTATCATCACGCACATCCCGCGCCGGCAGATAATGAACCAGGAATTACAAAGAAATATATTGAAAACTAAAAAGAAGTTGATTTTCCCTGTAATATCTAATGTTTGTAATTGACAAAGAATTATAATTCATTCAGCTGGACTGAAGTTGACATCGATTTTTCACTGTATCCTTGTTATTTACGATTCTTTGTCCATTCGTCARGATAGCGTCAAAAACTATGATTAGGCCTATTTCTAACAAATCCATAAGCAAAACAATTGCGCCATAACAAATGTCATGTACATCAGAAACTTTGTAGTAAAGTAGCCAATCAGAACACAGATAGAGCAATGGTCAACAAAGAGATCTAAATTGTCCAGCTGATTGAAKAGTAGATTCAAGCATATCTTATAAATCTCTTGAAGTTTATCAATCTTTTGTTTGGTCGAAGTTTTCGGATTCTGTTAYCGAACTGGCCCAACCCCCTTCCCCACCTACCACACACACATAATGATAATAAGGGAAAGCAAACCAAGAACAACAAAACGAATTTTGTTTTAATGGAAAAAAAGGGAAAAAATAAAACTAAAACAAAAGAAAATTGTCCCCGCTATAGATTACTTAATTTTTTATTCATATACAACAATAATCGATCAAAGTCCAGTTTCCGCATAAATTTTATTAATTACTTTAGCTACAAATCAGATTAGCGGTACATATGTTACAAGGCTTAATACTAAGCCACCTTGAACAGCTAATGYTTGAAGAAAAAATCTTTCTGGGCTTTTACACGTAAGAATATTAACAATAACAATATTCTTTATATATAATATATCAGACAGTCCGTTGCTCTTACTTGAATTTTTTTTGGGGGGGCAGTTCGACGTTTATAAACAASTCTTGTATATTTGGCGTGCACGCGAAATGAAATGTCAATGTTTCAGTTGTTTGAAGGTAAAAAGTTCGTATTCTTGTCCTTCTACACTTGTGTAGGACCACACGTAGTTTTTTTGTTATTTTCGATGATTTCTTTGAAGCAGTGAGGGTTTTTTCTGATGATGTAAAGCAGAACAGGTTTAAACACTTGCTTGATTGTTTGGAGTGCTTTTAGTGCGATATCCGCAGGCATTTGAACTACGGATGAGTAATATTTGGGTGCGTTGTTTGCAGAGTCAGCACTTTCTTTTTCCAGTTCATCTGCGCTTTTGCCTTGTTCCTTTTTCGCTTTAATGTCGTCCGTGATTGGCTGGTTGGACTCCATGCTGTCTTCTGATTGGTCACATGTTTCGGGTACATCACACTTTTCTTGTTCATTTTGTACTTTGGTTGAATCACAGCAGTTTGCATCGTCCTTCTCGCAGTCGTCCTTATTCTCAGTTCCTTCGTTGTCATCATTGTTCTCCTTTTTGTTCTGTTTTTTWCCTTTTATCATCTTTGAGATGGAAAGTCGACGAAGCCTCCCTGGTTTCTTTTTCTTGCTCTCGTTGTTCTCGGCCTCGCAAACTTCCTCTTTCACTGCGTCATTCTTGGTTTCGTCTTCTTGCTTGTCATCAATTGTTTTATCGATGTTCTCTTCAGTTTCTGTGATCTTTTCCTCAACTTCATCGGTGGCTTTCTCGTTGACTTCCACATTTGAATCATTTTTCCCTTCATCATAAATTTTCTCTTTGCTGGAGGATTTTTTCTTCTTCCTTCGATTCGACATTCGACCCAGAATGCCAGATCTCTTCCTCTTAGGTATGCCTTCGCCTGCGTCAACTTCATCTTGACCATTTCCTTCGGTGTTCTCCGGCCCGATAAAATCGTAAAATCCTTCACCATTTTCTCCTTCTTCTTTCTTCTCTTCCTCAACTGATTTTGGTTCTTCTACGTAGTTAGCTTCTTTCTCTGCCATGTTCTCGTGTTGGTACCGATCTCAGGACTATCGATGTACTGAATGTTCTGTTAGATCGCGAACAAGCTTTATATCAAAACAAATCGATCACGTGAGAGTTTAACCAAAACACTGTCAGATCTATGTGCCCTTCGATGACACAACAGTGTTTATGTAATTGTGACTGCCTTATGTATGAAGTCCATTGGGTCGGGTACAAAGTTCACCTTTCCCAACACCTTCACTGGCTAATATATTCTCTTGTGGCTCGTGATTTTAGTCAATTAAACTTTTGGATATCAAAACTATCGCTTTAAAAGGTAYACTCTCATTTTATAATGACTATTATTTTTGTATCGAGTGCTTAGGTTATCATAAGTGAGGAAGTCGGATACATTTTTCCAGAGATTCTATAAACAAATAAACACGACTTTAAAAACATACAAAGCGCGCCTTTTACTGGTGTTGACAAAAGTTCTCCTATGATCCAACGACATTGGCCTATGATAACAATTTGCCAAGTTCAAGTTCTTTTTCATCCTCAAGCGTCGATTTACAGTCGATAATTATATGGCAAAACTCAACTTTAGAACTTGCGAGATATTGTAAAAAAGATGCCTAAAACGTGCCACCGTGTTCTTGTCGCGTGAGTGACTAAAATAGGGGGGACTTGAATAGTTAGTTTAAGGGATTTTCAAAAAACCTCTAATCACGATAGCATGCTATATTTAGTTGTTCACAAAATATTAAAGTGCACAACAGACAAGATAGAATAACAGCATGAGATTCTTATGTGTATGGGACAGTTTATGATATTTCGTCAAAACGATTTTAATTCCCCTTGTTGTCATCATTAATCTCATCTCATCTAACATACTATTTTGTATTTCGTGTTGAAGTTTTACTACCCTGCGAACAGAGTATGTTATTTACCTTACGCAGTAAAACATTCGCGAATTTTTTACTGAGGTAAGGTAAATAACACTCTGCTCGCAGGGTAAAATTTTACAATCCTGCTGTGGTATGCACGTTGCAGTAGTAATCGTTTGCACGCGACATTGAGCTAACTCTAGTTCTGCGTCAGTGTTTGCTAACATAAATATCTTTTAGATATGACAAAAAATTTCATCAACCGACAATTTAGCCCTTTTTAGCTCCATTCAGTTAAAAAAACTGACTTTTGTAATCTGTTCCTTTGTACTCACGTAAAATAGACTATGAACGACTGACCAATTTTCCTCAGTTACGTAAGACGGTAACAAGTATTGCTACCCTGGTTTGACTTCACGTTATATTTCGCTGTTAGTACTTCTTGGCGTTTAATAATAAGCTTGATAATTAAGTAATCAATTATWTCACGCTCCCCTTGGATACGGGTTCGATAAATAACTCTGATTGGTAAAGTTTTATAACATAAAGAACGGGCGTAGAAAACACGCAGGGGGCAAGTAACCCTTGGACGAAAGTATACGCTTAAATTTTAAAACCTATCAATATGAAAGTAGTGAACTGCAAAGACAGGGTGTAAATCAAATGTCACTCAGTAAAAGTGTGCTAAATGATAATATATATTTTTCCCAGTCAGAAGGAACCGTTAACTAGTAGCCGTTCTTCGACTGTTTTCAACCTTAGTGACATTGCTTCCAACCTCATCCCCTTTCTTACCCATGCCCCTCCCCTAAAACCACTTAAAAGTGTCAATGTGACCACGTCCRAATGGACACAAATAATACAGTGGAATTTTAAGGATTTGAAACTGCGTCATAGAATCAATAGAGGGGTATTTTTACAAATAAGCACAGGTCGGCAAGGCTAAAAACATATCTGTAGAAATATAAGTCAGGATGTTACTTTTGCTGCTTTCATGTATCACGTTACTTTTTTTAAAACACGTATTCTTATTTTCTTAYGAWAAYCGTTTTCAAAGCGTGTTTTCGAAAATATCAACTCCAAGGTGTATGGTGTACCATGCCCGTAGGCTGGGGGGGGGGGGGGGGGTTTCGGGGGGTTCTCCCACAAGCTTAAAAGGTCCGGTGCTTCTCTGTTTCTATTGTTCTATTTTAAAATTCTTTTGTTATGAACTGTTTGTGAGATAGTATTTYGTCGAAACTGCTCATTCTAGCAGCCTGTTTTTACACACTATACCTGTGCATGGAACGAACCCCCCCCCCCCCCCCCATTTTAAGGCTTTGTGCTATGTTTGTGTACTTGTATACGTCTTATTTCGCGGATGTTGCGCACTCGACCACAAGCGTAAGGCATTCTACAGTGTAGGTATTGTTAGAATGCCATAGACAAGAGCACGCAACTGACGTCTTTTCTGCCGTTTTTCCCTCAAATAATAAGCAATCATTTGGCGTGCTGTTTCTCTGATACAATCCAAAGTTCAAATCAATATGAAGCCACTCGCCCAGACAGCTTTCCAAATCGTCTTTTTGATATCAAACTGCGATTGAGTCACTTTTTCTGTACTTTGTCCTTTTTGTAATGCTGATTGCGTAAGCTATACTCTGCTCATCATTCAAACGACTTTTCTGCATGCTCGTTTTCTATGTTATAAGATTTTTGCTTTTTTATCATTTCGTCTTTTAAACTATAGTGTATTTTGCTTTTTTTTAAGAAATAAGCCGGCTTTGAACCTTTGTTTCTCTACTCCATCGATGTGAAATGGCATTGTACAATATACAGCGAACTTGTGGTAATCCTTTCTTTGCCTTTTCGTAGTCATTATTATTATTTTTTCCTTCAAACAATTTTGATGTGAAGTGCTTGTTCAACCTGTTCAGATGCTATTATGAACTCAGTTTTATTCAAATTATGATCTTCCAGTTACTTTTTTATTGTGTAAGTAGTTTTAATCCAAAGCTAAGTCCCTGAAATGACGTAGTATTTATATAATACAAGTGCTTCTGGGATTAGCAGTTTGTTTTTGAGGCGGACAGCGATGACGCGGTGCGTTCATAAATTTACGASTCGAGTATCAAAAAGACCTCCATCGATGCGGGTTAGATATTTGGCACCGTGGGTGGTTTAAGGGTGAACGATGGTCTCTTTTTGTGTTCTGTCTAGCCTGTGGACATCCGTTTCTCACCCCTCCAAAAAAATAGGGGAGAGAACGTTATATCCCCGATTTTTTTTGGAGGGGTGAGAAACAGATGTAACCAGGCTATATTCTGTCCCTTACTCTGAGAAAGTTCAGTATTCCACAGGTTCGCTGTTTTTCGTCCCCTTGTAAAAGAACTAGCTACGAGAAGTTCGAGTTCCGTGAGAGGATTATAATCATAAATTTTTCTAAAAGTGACTTTGTAAACAGACAATAGTGTCGCACAAGGAAGGACGTACGCAACAAATGATCAAAAACCAGCACAAACTTTGAATGTTCTAGCACACAGCAGTTTTTGACAAAKGAACACAGACCAATACAAMCCTAGTTTACATTCAGAGGTTCTGAAATCACAGGCAGGCACCAACTGAACACTTTATTCATTATGTCACTGTAAGTTTGTTGTACGTCCCTAAYACCTATTTTTTTCTCTGTGTTTAAGGGTTGAAAACTTTGAGTTAGTCAATTCCAAATTATAAAGCATCCAAAAATTCCCCGAACTGGTACGACAAACACACCCTTATCTGCTTAGTTTTTAAAACATCTATTTGAAGTTTGAACTCACTAAAGTGAAACAAAGTCTCTTTTAAAAGAATATATATGGCTATTACATACTAATCGATACCCATATAGAGGTATTTCGCRGGTAAATATCCTCATGTTTGATTAATTTATCGATTTAATAAAATAATAATCTGCCAGTGTCCTCAGTTTAAAAATAAAAATAAAAACAATGAAAAAACGCTTTTTGGGGGATGATTCTGGCTATTTTATGCATAATAGGCCATATTGCCCGATTTCATACCGTGGATAAGACTTTATAGAACGAAAGAACGTATTGAGAAATACTAACTGTCTGAATTTGGCGTAAATCAGGTTAATATTAAACGATTTACAGCCTTTCAAAAACACTAGAATTTCCGAAGAAATGTATAGAATGCCGGACRTACGTCCGGATTTTTCTAAATTCCCATAACAGACTCGTAACATGGTATATTTAGGATCTAGTGAGCCCTATTTTTAGCTGAAAATATTGATCCCTGAGCGCCATAAATTTCTTTGTAAAATCTAGAATTTTTGAAAAGCTGCCAATCATCTACATTTGAACCAATTAAYACCAAACTTTGTGAGTTTCTTATTTACTGTGCGATCTTTCGTTGTTGTATATAAGTCTTATCTCACCATCGTGCGAATTAAGAGACTTGTACCCAGTCTCCCACGGTATGAAATCGGGCAATAAGGTGTACTTTTTCAATCTCGTACCCAGAGCYTGCGTTCTCTTTCTGACCGAAAGGGCTCTAGGCACGAAATTAGTACTTTTTGAGCTAATGTTTCGGGGATGTTGCGCACTCGACCACTCACTATACGAAAACCATTCTGTACTGTAAGTATTCTTAGAATGGCCATAGCCAAGAACATAAAAGACGTCTTTTCTGACGTATTTTCCTCGAATAAGCAATGTCATTGGCGTGTTGTTTCTCATACAAGTCAAAGTTCAAGTCAATAATCAGCCATTCGCCAAGGCAGCTTTCGAAGTCGTCTTCTTTGATACCAAACTGAGACAGAATGAGACGGTTTTTTTGGATTTTGTCCTCTTTGTGTTGCTGGTTGCGTAATCGATTTTGCTCATCACTAAAACGCCTTTTCTGCTCGTTTTTTGTATTRTAAGGTTTTTGCTTTTTTACCATTTCGTCTTTTAAACTAGTGTAGTTTTCTTTCTGTAAAATAAGACTTTGAGACGTTTGTTTATCTACTCCATCGATGCGAAATGTTTGTTCAGATTGTATAGTAGAATTCCCGTCGGAACATTGTACAATGTATCGAACTTGTGGTAATCCTTTCTTTGCCTTTTCGTTGTCATGATWGTCTTTTCCTTCAAATAACTTTGATGTGAAGTATTGAGATGCCATTATCAAACTCACTCCTATTTAAAACTTGATCTTGTTRTATAGAKTTTTTGTAGTTTTAATTCAATGGCCAGTCCCTGAAAACACAGGTATAGTTTGAGTGGACGTGCTTAGCAAGTTATTTAAGGGAAAACGATGAAACTGATTTACACTTAAGATAGTCTGTTGTAAACATTATCTCTATTTAATCAGTACCATGTAAGGTGAATCCAATAAGTGAAATTTTGTTTGTCAAAACAGTCTAACCATAGTCCCTTTCGGTCGTACAATCTCCCTTCGACAATTGCCGTTCGCCGTATTTTGAAATATGTGTATATCATCAATTTTTAGCCAATTCATTCACTTTCTACCACAGGTAGCCCAATTCAGTACCTGTACGCTTTTAACAATACAATAAGTCAGGAAGGTTTGCTGTACATGTTCCATATGCTAAATCGGCGTAAATAGGTGCCAAACAAGCCGTCCCTTAGGATCCAGAGGGAAGGGTCTTTAGTAAATCTAGATGATCCGGGTCATCCTTTTAAACTTTAAGAATCAATTTGGACTTGATTTGGACCTGGGGACAATGGAGTGAATGTGCACACAAGGTTGGGATACCTGTGCTGAAATTAAATCAAAAAAATCCCTTTGATTGACATATAAAGTAAGAGACAAAACTAACTAAAATTTGTGAATTGGCAAATTTTTTTTCAACTATTATTAAGGAATGTATCAGCAAAATCGACAACTTCCGGCTTGCTCCAAGAAAGTTGCGTAAGCCTCGCACGAAACTCTGCATTGTTATCTTGTGTACCCTTCGTAGGAACGATGTCTAAATACCATAACCCCTCTTCCCCCTCCCCGTCACTAACTATCAACAGATAAATACTATCATATAAATAGGATAAATACACTCATCTTATAGCACCATTTGTCATTGAAAAATAGACATCTCGTGGCTGAGTTATGGCGGAGAAAGAATCCGGATGCACGCAAGTCTACCATCGGGTCATTTATACTTGCAGTATATATGTATCGTACTAGACGTATATCACATCATTTGTGCTATCGACTCGAGTTTACACTTACTATTTTGTTTGTATATTATATTTAGTTGATTTTATAGACTCATACTAACACGATTCCTATATCAGTCCAAGGAGTCCTTGCGGAAATCACGAGAGACATGTTTTTCCGTGTTGTTGCATGTGCCTATGTTATATTTTCGTGTAGTCTCTGGACTCAAGTCGTCCTTACCTGTATGAAATAATTCAGTCTTTAAACTTCTAGCTTTATCCTTCTGGTTTCCCAATGTAGACCGACTGTACTATCAAGGTAGGAGGGAATCTTTTATGTTACTTTCCGATGCGTGATTCCCAGAGCTTTGAACTGGTACAAGTACATGATACGTCAAGAGGTCAAACAGAAAATCCCGCTAACGGTTGATTACGTCACTACTCACATAGCAAACTTGTTTGGTCTATATATAAATATGCACGTCAGTGAAGTACCCGCGGCAGCGCACTTTTCCACTTTTGATCAAAGTCCGATTTCAAACGTCTGGGGTTTTTGCCGATTTCTTGGTAGCCTAAAAGATATACCATAAAGGACTATCATGACTCAGACGAATTGGCCTAAAATTCCCTGGAACTATCGAACTGCTCATCAAGCACATCCCGGGGGGAGGGGGGGGGGGGGGGGTACTCTGGGGTAAAAGTACCTGGGTGTTCGTCGGAAATTTTCAAAAAGACCCTTAAAAGGTCCCTGAAGTCTTGAAAAAAGGGCGTGGGTGGGTGATTTTTAACCCCTGAGAGATTACACAACAAATATTGTTGAATTAAATTCCAGTTCCAGTGATAAAACCGCAGAGGAAAATCAACATCGATGCGCTCTTTCTCTTCTTTTCCGTCACCCTAAGAGATCGCAGAAAATGCAAATTTCCAGAAGCTCCAAATTGGCACCCTAAAATATTCCCAATCACGGTACTTTTACCTTACACCGGAGTCCCTCCCACCAACCCGGGATCAATGACTTCCATTTGAGCGACACCGCAACGAATTCTGAATATTTGTATTTATGTGTATTTATCCATCTTTGTATTGTTTATTCTGCTCCCAGTGATTACTCTTCTTAGTTTTCTGCGTATATTTTTCTTGTATTCGGTCTTTAGTATTCTTATGTAAGACAAATATATGTAACCGGGTTGAAAAGTGATGGATTTTGTACTAGTTATTTGCTGTAGGTTCGATATAAGTTGTTGGAGAAAGATAACACACAGAGAGAAAACACAACCAAACACGACCGAATCTGGAGCAGAACTGATTTACTTGCGCAAAGCGCGCGCTACAAACGTGATCGCTCACGCAATTTCCAAATATGGGAATCATGACCTTGTCACATATAAAAAAATACGAAACTGAATAAAAGAAATTAAAGATATCTAGAAAAGTATAGAATTACTTTATTGTATATAACTGCTGTTACATCGCATGATTTTGTTTCGCGTTTCTTATTTTCGGATATGTAAGATATATCTCTACAAAAACCCGCGTCATTTCTACAATTAGTGCTACTGCGGCTGTTTTAAAACGTCTGTGCTGCATATTATGCAATAAACGAGATGATACTGACGGCCACATTCCGGGCACATGTCAGATACAACGTTTGAATCAGTGGAGTTTTTGTATAGCCGTCATTATAATATCCAACTTCGAACAGGTTCGCGATTTCACTACTGCGATCAGAGCAATCTGATGTAAAATGCAATTATGATTATTATTTGAATAAAAAATATATTTATTTGTAATAGATAGATATAAGTTAATTTGTAATGTGATGCAATCTGAAATAAATTGGATTATAATGTAATCCCCAAAAAGAACATAAATTAATGATTTTAAAGAACAAATAAAACAGGAAAAATTTGCTTACTCAGGTTCGTAGCCGAGTAGCCTGCAAAGACCTGTGGCATACTACTTTCTTCCGTGGCTATGTATTTCATTAGTGTACAAGGCCAGATTCCGCATGTATGCACAACATCAGTGATCACGGCATGGAAAACACACTGTTCCGGACTTTACTTTAGTCAGGAAAGCTTGCCTTGTCGTGACGCGCCAAAGAAAAATCAAGAATAGACCCCTTGCAGTTCATGGGAATGCAGCTCCAACTGGAGGACAAAACAATGGATTCTAGTTCCCAAGGGGGCAAAAATCTTTTGTTTTGTCCTCCAGATGAAGCTGCTTTGACGTCACATGCAAGGGGTCTATTGATAAAATCCAAAAGATGACGATTACAGTACAGTACGGTCAAGGAAACAACCATGTGCGATCGACTCGCAAATCAATGGATTACTATCCTTATTAACATTGCGCATGCTCACTACCGTTAATCAGCTATTCGGCTTACAAGAGATCGCCTTTGCATACATATAATCAAACTCGTCAATAAACATTTCTGTAAGTTTTGAAGGATTRCAWATCACTGCCCTGTCCGTCATCACGCTCATGCGCAGTTTGCCCGCATAACTAAAAACAGACATTGACATACTMGTGTCGCTCATCAATGGTGGCCAGGCTATGACGGTTTCGATAGCACTTCCATTTAACTCTAGCTCACTTAAGGGGCCTGGGACATTACTCAGGATTAGACARCAATGCCGATTAAGTGAGTACGAGGAGAATCTACCTATAGACTCGGGTAGTGTTCCAAGGATATAGTCGAAGATCCAGCCGAAGATCTTCCAATCAGACGAGGCCTTCACGTCGTCCATWCGATGTTTGGTTTCGTAGATACGTTGAAGAGGGTCAATAATTCCTACAGGAAGAGAACAAAGCAAGCCAGTCGAGTGGTTTTCTAAWGGGATGCTATCTTGAGACAGGACCCGAGGTGAACGCGTGTTTATTGTTACAACGATTTGCATGTCGGTTGGATAGTCGAGGCCTTCGGATTTGAGATAGCGGCGCAGAGCACCAGCAACGCAMGCTGAAAGAACATCGTTTACGGTCGTACCTAAAAACGAATAATATAAAAACAATAAAATAAATTTTATCTGTTTTATCCTCTAAGTACGACGCAGTCCATGGAACTTCACGGGAAACATAGGACAACATAATACAAAAGGGCAAAAAARAAWTTCTAAAACTAAGCCAGTTCTCGGGGTCATGTGTGTCCAACCCAATGATAAAACTCTGTTGGCAATCTAAGTATGCTTACGTTCAGAATCTACAGAGAGCAGACAGATACGATACAAAATGGACAGGGTGCAGTAAGGAGGGGACAGGWCACAAATGGACGGGGTGTACACATGATAGGGAACAAAATRAACACGGTGCAGAAGGGACAGAGTAGGCATACAGAGGTGTTTAGAGTACCTGTAAGTGTCTTAATTTCTTTGATTTTTTCCATGCAGACGGGCTTGGTCCAACTGAATAATTTCTCTCCGGATAACTTAACTTTAGCAGAGAAAGGATTTTTGGTGGAATGAGCCAGTGCTAGGCTGAGCAGAGCCAGCGGACCCGTCAATACTACTTTCCAGACTTGTTTCTGTTTGTCACAGGGGGTAGCCACGGGTTTTTGTACTCTCAACAGCTCAGGTTTACGATCAACGATGCGTGCTATAAGACCAACAAGTGCAAAACCATCTCCAAGCGAATGATGGATGCGCATACAAGCAGCAAACTGTTCTTTCTCCATGTTGAGTGGTACAAGGACAAACATCCACGGAGAGATATCATCAGGGATAAAAGACGAAGCAAGATCACTTAATATATCTTGCAACTCGGCTTCATTACACGGKGATTGTCCATCATAAAATACAACGTGTCTTTTGATATCAAAATTATCTTCATTCTGCCAAATATAGCGTCCGTACTGCTTAACAATTTTTTGTTGCATGTGAATGTACGTTGGTTCTTCACAGTGAAGTATAATTCTCTCCATTAGAAGCTGTCGTATTTGGTCAATGTCTGGTTTACCATTAATCACAAACAAGCCATTGATAAAGTTTCTATTGTTTTCAGTCTCGTGCAGGAATGGTACGTCCTTGTAGGCGAGAAGATGTCCTACATTGTAATACGCGACAAATTTGCCTTGAATGAACTTGAACAGTCGAAATAGACAGTAAAGAGGAAGCGTCAAGATGGCGATGAGCACCCAGACGATGATGGCACAAAAGCACAAGACGCCATAGATGAAGCTTGGAAGAGCTCGAAGGTATCTTAGATAGTTCGTCATCTGGATGTGAATCTACTGAAACAAAAGCATCATAAATATTAGCATACTTTATACATCCGCCTTGGTTGCATAAGGACTGATTCCTCTGATAAATCCATATCTGCTGTCCAAGTTTATCCACACAAGTAAGCTATTATCTACATCCAATATTCACAAAAATAAAAATCTCAATTTAAACGATTCAGGGCGATGTTAACAGTGAACAACTCGGCCCATGATGATAAATGGGAACTGCATATCTTCATCTATTGCCAAATCCCCATAGATTAGTTAAACCAATTAAAATGAAGCACAATTCACTATTGCAGGCACAAATATATATAAACAGTTGTTGAAGAAATCCGTAAAAATATTTTTCGTTTAATCATTTAAGGCCTCTTTTAATTAATAATATTAACATAATATTAATCATGAAAACAAAGCATGTAATCTATAAGTCTTCACGAAAAATCTAGAATTATTTAAAAAAAATACCTATCTGCAATGTACAAACGAAAGGAACTCGCTAGTCGACGCTCRTACAGAAGTCAAACAAGCTGCTACAACTATTCTCTTTTAAACTACCAATGGAATATCCAATTCATTAACTGTGAACTTGTAAATATGCCTGATTGGTGTTGGTCAAACCAGGCGAAACAGGTCTGTATAGCTATAAATCAGTGAAGAATGTTGCCGGACTTTACCTACTAGTGTTAATCGATATACTAAATGTATAACAAAATATTAATAAGAAAAAATAAAAATGCTTACATGAGAAGTTGAAACTGTTAGATTTGTAACAGGCCGGCACGCAACAGCTTCGTGATTGMACTCCCACCAAGTCCAATGACTATATATTACTTTTAATATTATTACGAAAACCTTCCACACAAAATAACAAGGCTACTGCTGTGAGCTATAGATCACACAATAAAGATAAAACAAAATATAGGTTTATAAAGTTCAGAAATTCGAGACATGGTGTTGCCTTTTTTGGTCTGTCACGTGATCGAAAGATGCAACGCCGGAAAATGGCCTTACCCGGCAGCGCAAGGGATCTTCTCATAGCTTRTTCCTCTCTTTCATCAAATAACAATAAAATCGCATGATTTAATGGAAAATGAGAAGCTATGCAATATTCACGCGGAATTCCGCTCATTGATAGWACATTTTACAATTCTAACTGTAACATAATTTTAGAATCAATAATATTCACACCGGAAATGGTTGTGACGAGCCATTGCACGCGTGACGGTTCTATGGGCCCTTTAAAACAGCGTGTGGCCACACATGGTGGACAAGTTAAGATTTAAAGGTCAAAATAATAGAAAAAAACATACAATATAACTGCATTTTGCAATTAAGTGAGCGCCTGTAGCTGGGTTATTTGTGGGTCATCCAAATTATAAAATCCATGACAATCTCTGCCACTTTCTGAATATCAACAGGATAGTGTAAACTAAAAAGCGTTTGTATTACAGTTGCAAGGATAACTTGGTATTAAATGAATGCAGAATGGGTCTGGACAGAACAGAGCTAATTTGTAAAGGATATGGTCTCACAGGAAGACCAGCAATTAGCCTGAACTGATTTTGCAGTCGACCCTGCAAAGGCCCGCTAGCGATTTTTAAAACATCATTCAACTTTAAGTCTGCGTGGCGGTGTGTCGGGATGAAAATCGAAAGAAAGAGATATCATAGTTGCATCATAGTTGTGTCTATAATCTTGATATGCTAACGTGTATTGTTTGAAAACACGCTATACTGGAAGTTSAAACATATATCATGCAACAAAGTCAAAGTGCAGATTCTTGCTAATAAAGATATAAAGGGGGTGATAATGAAATAGTTAACAAAGAAATAAAAGATTGACCTCCCTTTGAAAAAATGCAAAGACTCTTTACGCCCTCAACAAAAAGTTGATAAAGATGACGCCATATAGGTGGTCGTACATTGACGCAGTTTGTTTACATCAAAAATATCAAATTCAAAAAATAAGCAATCGGAACTCATATAATTCCAGATTATATTACTCTCAATAAAACCTGAAAATTYTAGGGCAAAAACCTTCTTACATTTCGAGATATTGGTATTTCAAAACTACAGAATCTATATCTGCTATATGGCAATTTTAAAATATTCAACCAATTGCCTTCAAATTTTCAGGAATTGCTAACAGGAATTAGCTCTTTTTATTTATGGGGCTGATTTTCTTGTGGCTTGAAATTCGATAACTGACTTTTATGCAAATTAGCTAAACGTAAACTTTGGAGCCCACTTGCAGGCTACACATGCTACACAGGCTACACAGGATACACTCACTGAGGGTAAATCAACATGAATGGACATGTACCTATTCCCTAAAGTTGGGCTTCCTGTGGTTTTTCAATTATTCTCTCCACACCCTTCTCCATATGCACRTTGGGAAAACTAAACTTGTATTTTGTTGGTAGCCTGTGTATTGGCTATAAGTGAGGGTGGTGATGGTGGTGGAGGGGGGAGGAGCTATAAGGGTGGGTGGTGATGGTGGGGGGAGGGGGCAGAAAGGAAGAGGCAAACTGTAGATATGCAGCTTTTAAAGGATACAATTAAAACAAGTGTGTTGAAAGAAAAACAGTCTTGAATCACATAAATATGTTACCTGTCCTGGTGACTGTTATAACATTTTAGTTTGGCTGCATGTAGGGTAAAAATCTTGGACTGATACATATATTTACATCAGGCATATCATCATTGGTAATTTCATGTGATGTTAACTTGCAATTGCTCTTTTCATACTAAATAAGATTGGAAATCAACCACACACAGTACCCCCCTAACCCTAACCCTAACCCTAACCCCCCCAGATAAATTAATGGTGTGATTGCAAAATATAACCTTGCATATGAGGAGAGGAGAGGA